AGAATTTTTATCACTGTTTTGAGTTTCTGTAGTTGTTGCTCTTCCTGGTTGATTACTAGACAGAGTAGCAGCTTCCACAAAGRAACCAAAATCTTCTTCCGTTCGGGTTATAGTGGGTTTATTTCCAGAATTTATTTGGCTTGATGGTGTACTAATCTTAGGTGAGAGAAAAACGTCCGGATTTTCCTGATTTTTGACAGGCTTAGTAAAATTTTGCAATGTAGGGACTTTAGGTCTAAATATAGAACTTGGTGTTGTATTTATAAATTTCTTAATATCTTGAGGCTGGTCCTTAACTACAGGAGTTTTTTCAGTAATTGTATTTGTGGACAGAGTACTACTTTCAACAAATACGGCCTTATCTTCTTCATTCAAACTTGGTACATTGTCACTCTCGGTATCAATAGATACAGTACTAGCTGTAAAAAACTTGGTATCTTCTTCTGGTGATGGTACTGTAGTTGTCTCTTTTGCAAAGTTTAATAAAGTACTAGCTTCCACAGAAAAATCGATATCTTTAGTAGGTTTGCTCTCAGAATTTGCTCGACTTGGTGGAGTGGTAACTTTATCTGTCTGATTACTTTTTTTTGGTGTATGTGATTTAGGTCGAAATATAAGATTTTTACCCAAAGTAGTCGTTCTTTCTGGAATTTTAGGTTTAAATATTATTTCAGGCTGCAAAACTGAACTTTCTTGTACAATTTCAATATAAACTGGTTTTTGTGGACTTTCAATAATGTTAACTCCTTCTTTGCTTGGCAATGATGTAGTAAAATCAACATCACTAACAAAAGTACTAGAAGCATTCAATATATTACGTGTAGTATTTTCTTTATCGCGTCTAATAATAGATGGAGTACTACCTTTAGGTGGTAAAAAAGTGTGACCTTTGTCCGCAGATGGTTCATTAGGTACTGTACTAAATTCGAAAAACTGGGAATCTTTTTCTGGTAGTTGTGGTACTGTAGATGTTTTTTTCTCGTCTTTGTTGCTAGGTAGATTGTTTGTTTTTGATGAAAAATGGGGTTTATTCCCTTTTCCGAGTGCACTAGATTGATCATGGGACAGTGGAGGAAAACTAACTTTGACTTTATCAGATTTTGTCACATTTTGTGGTGGTTGAATTGTAGGATGKGGTAGGATAATGTCATTTTGTTGTTTAGGTTTAGGCCGAAATATAGTCTTGGATGAAATATTATGAGTAGTTTCATTACCCCTTTTATCATCCTTTGGAGTAGTAAATTCCTCTGCCGATTTGAAATCCGGTAGCAGTAAATCAGGTGTGTTTGCTTCTATTGGAAAATCTTTGTCAGATGAACATTTCTCGCCTTTCTTTTTGTCCGAAGAGACTATATCGATATCAACAACAATCTTCGTTTCATCTGGGATAATATTATCGTAAAATTTTTGATGAACACAGCTAAAAAACGGTAAAAAGCTTTTTGGAAGCAATTACAATATCACACCTACCCATTATATGGATCATCCTCTACACAAACAAAATTTCCTTCACATGCAAAAATTTTTTTGCCATAAGCAAGAAAAATGTTATTATTTTCGCAAAAAATAAACGTTTTACTAGTCACACATTTAATTCCTCTTGGACATAAACCCAAAAATTGCTGAGTTGCATCTGTTCGTATTATTTCTCCAAAACAGATGAAACATAAAACTGTTACTATCTTAAAAAATATGAAAAATTTCTAGTCAAACCACAAGAGGGAGATACGTACCAACACCGGGGATCGCATTGGAACTCATTGGTTGATCGAAACGGTGTGATTAGAATAGTCAACTAAAGACGTGATATAAAACTTCAGTCAACCGCGAAATCAAAAATTTTATGTAAAATAATAAAAATTCTCGAACATTTTTATGAAAATGGCGATTAACGCCATAAAAACAAAGAAATAATTGCTTCGTAAAACCTGATTGCCAAAATAAAATGCAATA